TTGTTTACAAAAGAAAACGCTAATTTAATTCGTATAGCGGACTCCAACGTACAAGAACAAATAAAAAAAATTCTTAATTGTAAGAATATTAAAAATGGCTCTGAGGTAGAATTCAAAATGATTTTTACAACAGTGATAGTAATATTTTAATATTCAATTGAACAACTAAATGTGTTATTTGTGCAGCTACTCCGAAGCATATGAATTCTAAGACTATTGAAAAGAGCTTTTGATCACGAAAAGCTTTGTTTTGGTTTTTGTCAACAAACAAGGTTTTGGATCGAGTAATGACGGCAACACTGCCAGACGATTATTTGATAACGCAAAACTTAGTTGGCAAATTACGAAAATCAATGAAAATTTAATAAAGAATTTTCATATTATTTTAAAGGTGATATCTAGCGGTTTTAAACTTAATGTGACCACATTTATACTTCAATTTGTATGACTGATATTTTATGCCAAGTCCATAAAGTGCTGGTTCACGGATGCGAAATTATAGAACATTTTGAATTACCGATGGCCAATTATCGGAAAACGCGCTTGAAGCTTCGCCATAAAGAAGTACTCCAATATCAAATATCATCCCGTGTAAAATCGAATACAGATTTGATAAGATTTGATTTGATAAGACACTTAGTTTTAACATTCGATCCTCTTATATCCTTTAAGAGAAATATTTATGTTAAGCAAAAACGCGCTTTAGTTTCAGACCTTCTAGCTTACATTAAAATTCCAAAATCTTCAGATTCCCAAAGTGGTGATCATTAAATTGACCCAATTCAATTAAGCTTCTCGGATTCTTATGATTCCAGCTAAATTACAACTATTAAGATAGGGATATTGATAAAGTCAACATAAATTAGAGAGAGGTTTTGTTATTTTATTTTTAAACTTTGTTCTTCATTTTTGTTTAGTTTGTTGTGTTTATATTACTTAATTTTTAATTTTTTAAACTTGAGATTTTTGTTGTATCAATCCAGAAGTATTAGAAATGACACAATTGATATCTGCATGGTTTATATTTATATATTGCTTACCCTTGGAATTTGCTTAAGTACAACAGAAAGAGTGTTAAATAAGTTGGATAAAATACTTACAAAATGTTTTTTAAGAACCTACAGAAATTTCCCATATCTAATTTTATATTTTATGCCAGTTGAAATCCATTTTGGACCTACAAAAATTGTTCCTTCCTTTATAATGTGGAATCGTCTAGAAATTTTAAAAACGTTTCAAATTATTTTTTTAATTAAGTAAGAAATTGGTCGAGTTTAAACTTTATTTACTAGGTCAGTTATGTAGATTTGTGTTTTATTTAAAAAAATGTCATATTTGACTTAATTAAAGTTTTTGCAAAACAATGATTTTTTTTCTACTCCCGTCTGTAAAATACTTGATTACACACCGACTTAGAGTGCGGGAAGCGTCACTTTACCACGTCAGTTGGTTTTGTTTCCCACGGATCCGAGCCACTTGGGACATTTCCGGGATTATACCGCACGAGTTGCATAATATATTATTTTCTACTCCCTTCTGTAAAATACATCGATCTAGAGTGCGAGAGGTGTCACTTTACCACGTGAGTTTCTTGTCCCTTGCCGTTTACCGCACTTGTTGCATAGTATACTATTGTCCATTTTTCCCTACGCCGTGGAGCACTGTGCCTCGTGGGAAAAAAGTGACATCACGTATCTCCTAGCGTCTTATCGGTGTCGTCATGGAAATCATGGTACATAACTCACGGGCAGAGTGACTGCTTAATAAACTATTGACATAAAAAGGTAACCAAACGTGTTGCATACCATACTTTTTTTATGACCTTTAGTTTTTGAGTGAAGTTTTACAACACGAACACGAATACATTCACTGGCATGACCGTCAGAATTGACAAACGTCAAAATTCAATACTTATAAAACTTCTGGATCCCTCCTGCGTCGGTTTATGTTGAGTCGAACTAGCTAACATTTCGCCAATCATCCTTTTGGCTTCTTCAGAGCTTGACTGAAACTGTCTCGCATTTTACTCTGTACCTGCTTTTATATTGTTTGAGGGGAGAGGAGCTAAATGAAGGGCATAAACACCGTCTCGGATGACTGATTCCCATATTGGTGACAGATAGAGACCTGAGTCGCGGTTAACACTGTTAGGTTGCTTATAGATTTCCATAGACTCTCAGATTTTTCGTTGGTGGAAGAATTGATTACATGAAAGAATTTTAGTTTGATCGACTAAAATTTTATGGCCGGTTTCGTGATTTTGTTCGGCAACTGCTGATGAGTTTATTTATCTTAGTATTAATGCTCTTTCATGTTTTTTGAGCCTAGCTGATATTTTTCGTCCAATGTATTCTTTGGAATGGAATGGAATGGAATTTTTTGACGGATCGAAGATGTTGAAAGATTTTTGGACAAGTAGTAAATCTGGTTTTGACGTTATATTTCTTTAGAACTTTTGATATGTGGTCAGTGATGTTTTAAATATAAGGAAGGACAACAATGGCAAGTGTGGGATTGCTTTCGGTGTCATTGCTATTGGAAGGTGGTGGTGAAGTGTATTTTGTGATGGAACGCTTAATATCTTTAATGTGGAAATTATTACAGAGAAGAACAGAAATAAGGTGTTTTAATTCTGTAGAGCTCTCAAGAGAGTTGATAAGCGATGATTTTTAGGCCTGATGGTAATATGACAATGCATTAAGGTATCGGTCTCTATGTGTAGGTTTTCTGTAAACACAAACACAAGTGAAAGGAATTAAGTACGAAACTGTCAGTTTTCCCTGTAAAGGGTTTTAATAGGAAAGCTAGATATCTTGTTGGAGAATACGTTGGAGAACTGATGATGTTGACAATAGGTCGAAGGAGTAATCCTGGTTTGTGAAACTTTGGGAGTCCATAGAGACTAAGCGATTTTAGAGCCATGAGGGGTGACAGATTGTTTCACTGAGTCTGATAGGGAAGAAGCCTTAATGATAGATTTAAGGTTGCGTTTCATAGATGACGTAGGATCTTTTTAAAGTTGACGATATGATCCGTGGGTAAGAATATCTTAAATCTTTTCCTGATATTCATTTGTGTTGATGACCACCGTAGCATTTACTTTATCTGCTTTTAGAATTACGACGTCGGGATTAGATTTTAGAGATTTTAGGGAAATGTATTCTGGCTTCGCAATATTAGATTTAGGGGGTTTTGATTTCTTTTTTCCAAAATTCAAGTCTCCGAAAACATCCGATTGCTCCCAAACCCGTGCGGCAATACCCCGGAAATTTCCGAAGTGGTCCATGGGACAAGAAACTCACGTGGTAAAGTGACACCTCTCGCACCCTAGATCGATGTATTTTACAGAAGGGAGTATAAAATAATATATTATGCAACAAGTGTGGTAAACGACATTTGGCTCACGAATTTATTATTAAATGCGATACTTTTTCTACGGCCGTTACGAAAAAATCAAAATTTTAGTAAATTAAAAATAATAACAGGTTATCGAATTACAAAATATTTACTAGTTGCCATTAAACCTATTCCTTTATCATTGGGATCGGTTCTGTTATTGTCGTTTCTTTTTAACTGTATACGTTAGACAGAGAGAGATGCATTATTGGATATAACACAATTTTAAAACGTTACGTTTATTTAACTTTTACAATTGATCATTAAGTAGTTTATTTAAAGAAAAGAACTGTAAGTGGAAGAAAAATCATCCATGGATAGAGCTTTTAAGAGAATGGAATTTTTAAGATAGTATAAGCAAGAAAAAACATGTCCTAACCTTGAATGTTGTTTTGTTTGTACTGATGAGACATGGATATTTGAAAATCGTAGAATTAGTTTTGGCAAGATATTAATATAAAAACTGTAAAAGTTCACGAGAACGGTATGTAAAATTTCTGTCGGGAACTTAAATTATAAATGTCACTTTACTTACCGGCTAGTCCACTAGATTTTAATTGTAGGTTATAGCACGCAGTATTTAAATTGTCTGATATATTTCTATGTATTAGTTTTTGGTTACATTTTTGCAAAACAACACGAAAACATTCATTCATGTGACGATCAGAATTGACAAACGTCAAAATTCAAACCGTGCGCTAAAATCTCCGAAAACATCAGTTGCTCCCAAACCCGTGAGGTATAATCCCGGAAATGTCGGAAGTGGCTCGGATCCGTGGGTGACGCTTTTCGCACGCTAGATCGGTGTGTAATTTGGTATTTTACAAACCGGAGTTGAAACAACAAGTGCGGTAAACGGCATTTGACTCACGAGTTTATTTGGCACGAGCGGAATGCAACGGAGCAAGTGTTTAATAAACGAGTGACTTAAAAAGTTTACCGAACGTGTTGCATACTATACGTTTTCTACGACCGTTAGTTTTTGGGTACATTTTTGCAAAAGAACACGAATACATTCACTGACATGACCGTCAGAATTAACAAACCTCAAAATTCAAAGCGTGGGAAATATCTCCGAAAACATCAGATTGCTCCCAAACCGGTGCGGTGTAATCCCGGAAATGTGCGAAGTGACTCGGATCCATGGGAAACAAAATTAACGTCGTAAAGTGACGCTTCCTGCACGCTAGATCGGTGTGTAATTAGGTATTTTATAGAGGGGAGTAGAAAAGGATTATTAATACTGTTAATAATACACCAAAAACCACCCACTGGCGTTTTTGGTCGTTATCTTTAATCTTCGCCGCCGACTTTAATTTATGTTGCCGACATCTTCAGGCCGTTTGCCAGCCAAAGTGTCCGATTACGCGGCAGACAACACTCGGTAGTTTGGGAGTTTTATGGGTGTCTGTAATGACGAGGTCCTCGGTCATTAAAATTTCGGCACATCATCGAAAGTGGTCGAGAAGCTGGAAACAGGTGGGAGGCCGGTCCCCACCCAGACGGAAGCGACACAAAACGATCCGCTGGGCTCGTATAGATTAGTCAATGAAACCCCTTTATGGCGCGAATGCGCGGCGCATAGATTTTCCATAGGAGGAGGACGGACTCTGGATCGTCCAGGGTTCGGACGGAGACAAGCGCGCCCTGCCCTCGGAGACCAGCTACAAGTTTAGTCCGTTTAGTCACGTCGGGCATCTTCTCCGCGTAAGAAATTATTCTCCCGATTTTCCGGAAAAATATGTGGCGCCTCTACTAAGCTCCTGCGAGATTCGAAAGGGAAAAACGTCCGATATCGAAGCGACATAGAGGTGAGTGAGATTTTCCCCCGGAATAGGATGCGGGCGACCGGGCGATCGTTAAAACACTTGTAGCGTTCGAGGGCGTAGAATTATCAAAGCAACTAGAAACTCTTTAATCAAACGATCACTTTCCCGAAATAGATGGTGGTTAGAATGCAGCAGGTATGATAAGGGCAAAATAAAAAATCGATACGGGCGCTGTGTTTAAAGCAAGCTCAATTAACTGCCAAACGTCCTGCGTAAATCAACAAGTCTATAAGCGTAACGATGGAAAAAATGTTGCTCGTAAACGGCGCGGATTGATTTTTAAAGGAAACCCATGGTAAGGCGTTGTCTCGCCCTGAAGTGCCCTTGTTATTCGCTTCCCTTTAATGCACACGACGTGACGAATATTTAGGGTGTTGGTCGAAATGCGAGTTTCGTAATCACCCCCAGATGGGAGGGAGATAACTTTTACAACAACAACAACAACAATAAGAATTTTAATAACAAATTTATTCTACTGCATTCAATATACAATACAATAATATGTTATAAATAGATAAATAGCAGAAAAGGGGATGAAAGCATTTAAAAATTGTTCAAAGTGCCCCTATAAAGTGATGCATAGTGATGCTACTTTTAACTATTAGTAACACACAATTATAATAAAATACTATGGTATATAATATAAACAAAAAAAAGAAATTCAAAATAGGCTAGAAAATCTTGAAACGGAACTCGAAAATTTCGTTTTGATAAGTAATGGTGATAGGACCTTATGGGCTGCACTAGAATCTTTTTTAAATTGAATTTCCGCCTCCTTTTTGCATGTAAAATTGGTTATTGCATATAGATGTTGATTATGCAAGTACTTACAGCAAATAAACTATTACCATTATTCTGGTCTTAAAGAAAATATCTGACCTATACGTTGTTTTATTTGTCATGTAAGGTGGAGTGTTATTAAAAATAATATTATGGAAAAATACCAATTAGTGTAGTCTACGCCTGTTCCGCATAGTCAACTATTTGGCATCCTGGAGTTTCCTCGAGACTTTATCATATGTCCTTCATAAATAAGCCGTAGGCAGTTTTTTTGTACTATCTCAATTCTATACAAAATGTCACAATAGTTAAAATAACTTAACACTTAAGGATTTGCTACTTTTATTTGTTGAACTTCAGGCAATAAACGGCGATGCGGATGAAGCAACCTTACGGGGATGTGTGCCCTTTGCAAATAATACGCAACTTGGCCTCTGAATCGAAAATTATTCGTGACGTGCTGAGAATTCAGTTAGTTCTTTTAAATTTTTATTATTTAATTCTTGCCTGAGTATCAGCGCAAAAGTATGCAGTGACATTTTGCATACACGAGACAAAATTGCTGGTGTAAATTGTAAATAAAAGAGGCCCCAGTACACCGCAGCTAACAGTTATCTAGCTGATTGACCAAACTCGTTTCGACATATTGCATTCGATCACTAAGATAACTTCTTATTAACATTTTGGCAATATCCGAAAACCCGACAGAGTTTAAAACAGCTAACAGTAGTGGAATATCGTATCAAATGCATTCGAATAGTCCAGAAGCACCAATAATCAACACTGTAATACTCAAAAGCGCAGTTACGCAACTATATCCAAATCGATATCCTGATTTTTTAGGAAGCAAAATGATATTTTAATCTGAAAAAAGTCGTATTTGATTATTCATAATGTTTTGTAGTAGTTTTAATAAGCAAGGTAGAACACTAATGGGTCTCAATTCATTGTAAAATGTAAACAACAGTTCTATATTTATTAAATCTGAACCAGACGTCATCTCTACTAACCGTAGAAAATTAGAATTAGTCATTTACATTTATTTTTGAATTATTTTGGTAATATTGTAGCAATATAGGATATTTTATTTTTTAGAAACTGTTAAAAATACTGGTTTATATCAAAAGCTATCAGGGAGGCATGTATATGTAATTTTATATGTTATATTTAAATTTTTTAACTTTTTCCAAAATTTTTTGCAATTGTTTTCATTACAAGCAAATTTTGTTTTTATTTTTAATTGCGACGTTACTTTGGTTGCGTTGCTGCTTATATCTTGTAGTTTCGTACTTTTTAAAAGTTTTATCTCTTGGTTTAATCATAACTTTTACAGTGTCTGTTAGCCATAGTTTTATAAAGAAGTAGGTTTCGGTACCAGTAATGATTTGCGTTTTTTACCAACTTCGTATTTTAAACGAATCACAATTCGAGCCCCCGCTGGAAGTATTTGCGCTGAACTTTCACGCCAATTTCCTATTTGTTAGACTAGGAACGATCGTCGGATTTGATTTGGTTTTGGTATCGCGAGGAATGATTTCCTTTCCTCATTCCGTAGTTTATTCAGGTGATTCTTGCGAGTTGCAATTTTAAAAAACACGTTTCGTTGATGTTGGTGGAGGTTGATGGCGTCTAAAGTTGTGTTATAAAGTAAAGTTGATTGATGGGGAAAAACTTTGCAAACTGTAGATTTGCTCACTCCGGCTTCCACTGCTATACGTCTTGCTCTTATTTTCGGATTTTCAGCTACTTGGATTCAAACTTTCTCTTCCAGCTTCGGTGTACTCATTTTTGGTGGCCCCATATATATATATATATATATATATATATATATATATATATATATATATATATATATATATATATATATATATATATATATATATATATATATATATATATATATATATATATATATATATATATATATATATATATATAACGGGTGGTTAAATTTCAAGGGCCGATGTTGATTTTGAATAAAACACAAACTATTTAGGAAATTATTGTATTTTATTTTATTATGATATATTGGTATTACTCAATTATGTATGGAATAAAATATCGGCCAAATGGGCGCCGCGACCACGGCGGCACACCTCCATCCGATGGTCCAAATTTTCGATGACCCTGAGGCATAATGGCCGTTAATGTGCCGAATTATCTCATCCTTTAGCTCTTGAATTGTTGCTGGCTTATAGACGTACACCTTTTCTTTCAAATAACCCCAAAGAAAAAAGTCCAACGGTGTCAAATCACATGATCTTGGCGGCCAATTGACATCGCCATTGTGTGAGATAACACGACCATTGAATTTGTTGCGCAAAAGAGCCATTGTTTCGTTAGCTGTGTGGCAAGTGGCACCGTCCTGCTGAAACCACATATCGTCCACATCCATATCTTCCAATCCGGGACATAAAAAGTTCGTTATCATCTCACGATAGCGAACACCATTCACAGTAACTGCCTGACCGGCCTCATTTTGGAAAAAATACGGCCCGATGATGCCGCCAGCCCATAAACCGCACCAAACAGTCACTCTTTGGGGGTGCATTGGTTTTTCGACAATCACTCTTGGATTCTCATTCGCCCAAATGCGGCAATTCTGTTTATTGAAGAATCCACTGAGGTGAAAATGTGCCTCATCACTGAAGATGATTTTCTTCGAAAATTGATCATCCACTGTTGCCATTTCTTGCCACCATTCTGCCCATTCACGACGTTTGGAATGGTCAAGAGGCTTTAGTTCTTGAGCCAATTGCACCTTGAAAGCGTGTAAATGCAAGTCTTTATGCATAATGTTTATCAACGACGAGCGTGAGAGGTGCAATTGTTGGGCACGACGACGAGTTGAGGTGGACGACTCTTCAGCCACACTATCGCGAACAGCAGCAATATTTTCTGCAGTACGAGCTGTACGAGCATGCACTGGTGTTCCCACATCTTCTACAGACCCGGTTTGCTCGAATTTTTTCACGATTTTTGCGATTGTACGCACATTTGGACGATCAAATTGACCAAAAAAATCACGAAGTGCACGATACGCATTTTGATTTGAACGCCCATTTTCATAATAAGTCTGGATAACTTTAACACGTTGTTGGATTGTGTATCTCTCCATGGTTCAAATTGAGTAAGTCTGAAATAGAGAAATGTCAAATAAAATTCGGAAAAAAACTTGGCGTTTAGGTGTGGTTCACATTCAAAATCGGCCCTTACAATTTAACCACCCGTTATATATATATATATATATATATATATATATATATATATATATATATATATATATATATATATATATATATATATATATATATATATATATATATATATATATATATATTTACATATATATATATATATATATATATATATATATATATATATATATATATATATATATATATATATATATATATATATATATATATATATATATATATATATATATATATATATATATATATGATGACACTATATTCCGGGATATCATCCGTTCGCTCGTTGAACTCCGACTGGAATCCTGCATCCGACTGGAATCCTGCAGACGTTTCGCCAAAATCTCACCTGGCATCTTCAACGCTCGCGCTCCGAAAACACTCCGAACACATATATATATATATATATATATATATATATATATATATATATATATATATATATATATACATATATATATATATATATATATATATATATATATATATATATATATATATATATATATATATATATATATATATATATATATATATATATATATATATATATATATATATATATATATATATATATATATATATATATATATATATATATATATATATATATATATATATATATATATATATATATATATATATATATATATATATATATATATATATATATATATATATATATATATATATATATATATATATATATATATATATATATATATATATATATATATATATATATATATATATATATATATATATATATATATATATATATTTGTGACTCGAGGATCATTGACAATAAATTAAAGTTAGAGGTAATTGTTTCGTATTTTAAATGGGGTATTACTGTTCAGGAGTCAGCCGAGAATTCGCATACTAAATGCACTGAACATTTATGCCCGTATGCATCGAGGCGTTTTAAGCAGACTGGGTTAACCCCGTGATTAAGCTGTCAACTAGCACTGCGCCAACATTTATTTA